CGTCACAGTTTGAAAGATGATAAGGCGTCGCCAGATGAGCTGTTTATCATTTTGGATGTAAGTGGGATAGGGAGAACCTAAAATTTTCGAGGTCACTGATGCATGACACATAAACATATCATCATACATTCAACACGTGTAAGACGTGGTGGCTATGCCCAGGCTATTTCTTAACCCATCACACACTTTCCGTTCATTGAGGTTCAGTAATGTTACCTCATAAAAAAATTGTGGCTTTTAAAAATTGTGTACCGTTACTTTGATAACCGCTGTATCCGATTATCAACGCTGTCACAGTATACACTCAAATGGGCTTATCACATACACGTACTTTTGGCAATCAATCTGCCTCCACTCATTGTCACATGCGGGTTCACATAATCATAGATTCCTGTATGTTAATTGTTGTTTTGTTTTGTTTGTTCACATAACTTAAAACAACATCCCACTTAAACCGTTGATGTATTTTACTAGTGAACTTAACTAAATGTCAATTCAAATCTATGTCTCAAACTTAAGTAGTGTCGTCTAGCCTATGCGTGACAATAGACATGAAAAGTTAACTGTTTTAACAAAAGGTTTGAGTTATTGATATTGCCAACGACATCTGCTGTAAAGCAAATTATAGAGATACTATCATGTTCCCAAATGTTTTGCTGTGTGTGGAACTACTAATGGATTAACTAGTTTAGTTACTCAAGTATTGGGAATAAATTATTATTGAAACTACACGGTCAGCGTATTTAAATCTTCCACGCTGAGATTTTAGGCTAACTTTAATTTAGACAGCTTTCATTTTGATAAGCTGATAAGAAAATGAATGAGGATGAAAGTACTTCAATTAATGCGCAGCAATCTATTAAAATTGCCTCTAATTTAAAGATGAGAACCGTTTAAAGATATCTTTATATTTTTATATCAAAACATTTTTTACGTGACTCATTTAATGATTCGCAATAAGTTTAAGGTGCTTAGTAAACAGAATACCATAACTCAAGGATAATTATCCATCAATAACCTGTGCATTTAACCTATACACAGTTTAACTAGAACCATCAATAACTTGTGCAATGAGCCTAGGCACAGTTTAACTAGAACCATCAATAACTTGTGCAATGAGCCTATGCACAGTTTAACTAAACAACAACAACAACCACTGCAGTTAACCTATGCACAGTTTAACTAGAACCATCAATAACTTGTGCAATCAGCCTATGCACAGTTTAACTAAACAACATCAACAACCACTGCAGTTAACCTATGCACAGTTTAACTAGAACCATCAATAACTTGTGCAATCAGCCTATGCACAGTTTAACTAAACAACATCAACAACCACTGCAGTTAACCTATGCACAGTTTAACTAGAACCATCAATAACTTGTGCAATCAGCCTATGCACAGTTTAACTAAACAACATCAACAACCACTGCAGTTAACCTATGCACAGTTTAACTAGAACCATCAATAACTTGTGCAATCAGCCTATGCACAGTTTAACTAAACAACATCAACAACCACTGCAGTTAACCTATGCACAGTTTAACTAGAACCATCAATAACTTGTGCAATCAGCCTATGCACAGTTTAACTAAACAACATCAACAACCACTGCAGTTAACCTATGCACAGTTTAACTAGAACCATCAATAACTTGTGCAATCAGCCTATGCACAGTTTAACTAAACAACATCAACAACCACTGCAGTTAACCTATGCACAGTTTAACTAGAACCATCAATAACTTGTGCAATCAGCCTATGCACAGTTTAACTAAACAACATCAACAACCACTGCAGTTAACCTATGCACAGTTTAACTAGAACCATCAATAACTTGTGCNCTGGTGACTTAAAGGTAACTTTTAATGCCCTCTTGTAAGCCCCCCCCCCCTTTTTTTTTAAAATAGAAACGCGGGCCTGTTTAGAACTTCGTGTCACGGCGTATGAACAAAGTTACAAGAAACTTAACATTAACATTAAGGCTCTTAAGGCCACACAACAAACACCAGTAATCCGATATTCCATTAATGACAGAAGGCTAAGTTACTCATCTAAAAAAATAAAATAATCGTATTTTAGGAAGTTACTATGAAAACTATCGACATTTTCTGGAAAAACTTACCACTGCGCATTCGATCTTCCTTCCCATGTAGTCGAGTTGATTCTCCGACTGCCACTGTCTGTGAACTAAAGCAGTGACCCGTTACCGGATTCGTCGCAACAGTCAAACTGAAACCAAAACGTAAACACAAGGACTTTACACCTGGGCCCTATATATTATGCTATTGATTGCCGTGCAAAGTGTCTCAAGTTTTGCACGGAAACACCGGGTACTAATATCACCAGGCTGAGAATACACGGCGTAATCGTGTAAGAGTCATCTTCACGTAATTGATGGTGCTCATTTTAGTGTGGTGTCCATTTCAGGTCTTAACGCGGTCAAGGGTCGGTCATCGGGGGTTTGTTGAGAAAATGTAACGACCAATAAGAGAAATATCAGACTACTGTATGTATCAGTCTATTGTATTTATCAGTCTATTAAATACATCAGTCCATTGAATGCATAAGTCTATTGAGTATATCAGTCTATTGTATTTGTCAGTCTATTTCATTTATCAGTTTATTGAATGCATCAGTCAATTGTATCTATCAATCTATGGCATGTACCAGTCCGTTCAGTGTATCCATCTAATGTATGCATCAGTCCATTGACTGTATCAGTTTATTTTATTAACCGGTCTATTGAATGCATCGGTCTATTGTACATTGTCGGGAAATCGACGAAGTTCTTTAAAGCTGCTCTATGTCGTCAGCAGACAGTGACCACTTAAATAACCGAGAACAACCTACACAATCATAACGTAGCACTAGGCAACTCAAAGTGCACCATCGTAACGTAACACTCTGTCACTCAAAGTGCACCATCGTAACGTAACACTCTGTCACTCAAAGTGCACCAATCGTAACGTAACACTCTGTCACTCAAAGTGCACCATCGTAACGTAACACTCTGTCACTCAAAGTGCACCATCGTAACATAACACTCTGTCACTCAAAAGTGCACAACCGTAACGTAACACTCTGTCACTCAAAAGTGCACCATCGTAACGTAACACTCTGTCACTCAAAAGTACGACACCGTGACGTTAAATTCGGAAACTTAAAAAGTCCACAGTTGTTGCATCACAATCAGGAAATCTAACCACACCTCGACTAAGACAGTTTACAGACTAACCACACAGCGTGCGAGTTTTTTCCTACCCGCCTTTAGTCTCACCCCACGAACCCTTTCCCAAGAAATGCTTTTTTCCGAGATGTTATCGTCCTATGACTAAGTGTGATGTGTGTCTTGCTGACTTTACAAGCCTACTTTCCTCGTTGTTATGTTTTTCAGCATTGTTCAACTTCCTCGAAGAAAGTACCCAGATCTGGCTGAAAACTGGCAAAGTGTAAAAGAGCGAATGTGAAATAGTTGTTGTCAATGGAGCGACATTTTAAAGAACAGATTGAATTGATCAAGTTAAAGTGACAATTTGGCATATTTGTCTGTAATAGATAACGTTTTTAATAATGGTGTCAGAAGGGTTTCTTATCATAGGCATTGTGTTAAGTTTTAAAATGTAATACTTTCATTAGGAATATATGATGTAGCCGTAGCACATTTCGGTTACTGAAAAAAAATTCATTTTTTTTTTTTTTTTTTTTTTTGGAAAAAAACGCGCGGGATGGAGGGAGGCC